CAGGTGGGGGCATTTCTGTGGTCAGTTACCCTGGAAACCAGGGAGAGGACATTCCATAGTCTGGCAGGCATTACCTTGTGACTATCTTGTGACTCTGTACTTTTACACTTCCTGGTTTCTGGAATCTGAACTGACTGGTTTCAGTAACTAATGGCCTATTCCTAAAAGGAGAAATCTTTGGGTGAAAGCATTTTGGTCTTATTTCTAAGATGGCTCATTTTGGTCTCACACCATCACCCCCCAGACAGCAGGAAGTAATTTTAAGAAGATGTCACCCATATTCCCAAGAGGTGGGATGGGTGGTTTTTGATTCATTCCGTGGGTTTTGGATAATTGTCATTGTTTAGGATGGTTGGTTACAAGTTGTTATTGTTAATAGTCAGGAAAAAGGAGATTAGATTTAGGATTCTTGTTGGAAAAAAAAGAGGATATAGATATAAGATAAAAGGTAGATTATTGAATCTACTCTGAAAAGAAAAAAGGAGATAATAGATATGATAAGATAAAAAGGTAGATTATTGAATCTACTTTTTAAAAGGCAACTACTAGTTTTAAATATTTTACATTGGATTGGATTTTTTATATTGTATACAATTTATGTATATTGATACAAATTTGAGATTGATTTTGTTAGAAAATACTGTATATATATTTCTAATCTTGTTCAAGGTATTATAAATATAGCTCATTTAACGATGTAATGCAATTTTCTAGTCTTTGAAAGTTATTATTACCAACTAATTAGGATATAAGAAATGCAAGTTAATAGTCATTACAATCAAACTTGTAGTCGTATTAGGTATGTTTTCAAGGTTAAACAGAAATATACTTTAGATAGACAGGTCATCTTCAAACACTTCAGAGATCTACAGAATATGGCATTTAAGATGTTTTAATAACATTGATTTTTTTTTCTTTTTTTCATGACAATGAGACATGTCTGCTCCTGGCAGCACCAATCTACTTCAGAGAAGATGATGGACACTGAAGAAACTCCTTATGGAGTTTACTTTCACTGTGGCAATAGTTAGCCACTGGGCAAGAAAATGCCCTTGACTCAACTGCTAACGGTTTGCTGTCCAAGATGGACAAGCAGGACAGAAAAGAAAGGACTGCAGATCCTTGACAAGACAAGGTAGGAAATGCTCTTTAGAAAATTCTGTTTCACAAATGAGTCTGTCAGATATGCTAGGCCTGTAGGCTGAAGATGGATGCCCCAATGTTGCAGAGGAACCTTGGGTGACTGTCCAGGCAGCCAGCTGTTTCTGTCATTTCTCACATTGTTTGGAAGTCACTTGTTTGCACTTCTTGCTTACTCAGTTAATGTTATTTCCTTCTCGGGTCTCTGAGGGAGTTGAAGATTAGACAGTTATAGTTTTCCTTGTTAACAAATTCAGAAAAGAAACTCACTAAAGAGGTGTAAAGTGTATATGTTTGAAAGACATCAAAAGATAGTTTTTGGTTGGTAATACAAGTTAGGATAGACGGTGAATTAGACATAGTCCTTTGGATTCACAAAGATGGAATAGATAATGGAGTATTTTCTCTGAATTTGTCAAATGCAAATGGACTGGACATTGTCGATGTATTTATTGACTGTATATATTGTATATAGTTATTGTACTTATTGTATATAGTTTTTCTTATATTAGTTATAACCTTTTTATTATTTTAGACAAAAAAGGGAAATGTGGTGGTATATTGTGTACCCCAATAAACTTACCTGGGGATCAAAGGACAGAGCCATCCACTAAATTAGACGTAGAGGTCAGGCAGTGGTGGCACACACCTTTAATCCTATCTCTAAGTATCCATCTGGATCTCTGTGAGTTCAAGGCCACACTGGGCTACATGAGAGAAACAGAACCAGGCAGTGGTGACACGCACCTTTAATCCCAGAAAGTGATATGGCAGGACACAGAAAGGTATATAAGGCATGAGGAAACAGGAACTTGCTCTCTTGAGGCTGAGGATTTTGTAGAGGTAAGAATTAGTGGCTGACTGTTCTGCTTCTCTGATCTTTCAGCTTTCCCCCTGATATCTAGCTCTGGGATTTTACTATAAGACCTTTTAAGATTCGCGTTACATCACTCACTATTGATGAACCAAGATAATCAAAGGCATCTATCTCTGTAAGTTTGAAATACGGTTTACACCATGGGCTTTCAGTGCATTCTGAGCTCCCAGGAGAGGGAGACTGGAGATGATTCAGTAGCTGAAGGTGCCGGCCAGGCAAAAAGCCGACTCCAGGTCCTGAAGAGTCATCCTGTGCTTCTGCTTCTCTAGAGCCGTCTGGTACCAAATCTGTATTAGTCAGGGTTCTCTAGAGTCACCACACTCACCATCCCACACTCACCATCCCACACTCACCATCCCACACTCACCCCATCCCACACTCACCCCATCCCACACTCACCCCATCCCACACTCACCCCATCCCACACTCACCCCATCCCACACTCACCATCCCACACTCACCCCATCCCACACTCACCCCATCCCACACTCACCATCCCACACTCACCCCATCCCACACTCACTCACCATCCCACACTCACCATCCCACACTCACCCCATCACCAACTCACCCCATCCCACACTCACCCCATCCCACACTCACCATCCCACACTCACCCCATCACCAACTCACCCCATCACCACACTCACCACCCCACACTCACCCCATCCCACACTCACCATCCCATACTCACCCCATCCCACACTCACCATCCCACACTCACCATCCCACACTCACCATCCCACACTTACCATCCCACATTCACCACTCACACTCACCATCCCACACTCACCCCATCCCACACTCACCCCATCCCACACTCACCATCCCACACTCACCATCCCACACTCACCCCATCCCACGCTCACCATCCCCACACTCACCCCATCCCACACTCACTCCATCCCACACTCACCCCATCCCACACTCACCATCCCACACTCACCCCATCCCACACTCACCATCCCACACTCACCATCCCACACTCACCATCCC